TTTTTTCGTACAGAATACATTGCTTACATAAAAATTAATAAGTGAAGTTTAACCTAAAACTATTCTTACATAAAAAGAAATACAAGTCAAGAAAGTAGAGTATAAATCTGTCCGTAATGATTGATTGCTGCCCTGACAACAAGCTTGATTTTCTCTGTGACTTTATTCTCTCCATGATGCTCTCCTATACAAGCTGAAATCATCACTTGGAAAAAGATGACAGTTTGAGAGAGGGTTGAAATCATCATCACTTGTGATGATTTCAGCTTGCAAGACTCTTCAAGTCTCATTAATTTTCTAACGAATTGAGAGAGGGTTGCTTTGGTAACAGTGAAATCTGAGTCTCAAATTTACCCAAAAAAAAAAATCTGAGCGTCAACATCAAGGAAAAAGATAGAGAATAAAGGCCAAATGCAGAAAAAGTCAAAGAAAAAAAAAAAGAAAAAAGGAAAACCTTAACAACAGTCCCTCACCTCATCTTTTTCATAAATTCCCTAACCAAACAATATATTACGATTTACGGGGAAAAAGGAAGGGAAACAAAAGGAAAAACAGAGGTGCCCTCCTCTCCCTCTCTGTTTATTGCTTTGTAGAGGAAAGAAGTCAGATGCTTCGTCCCACCAACCTCAATTTCTTCAGCTGAAAGACTCTCACTCCATCATTACTAGCTACGCGATTGCTAATCATAAAAAGGATGGATTTGGGTAGTGGGAGAAGAAGGGAAGGAGTTAGGAGTAGTGTGGTTGCGGGGTCGGTGTGGGAGAGTAGGATGAAGAGCGACCAAGTGAAAGGTGGGATCAAGGTTTTTAATGGAGAGGAAGAAAATCAAACTACCCTGGAAGAAAATGGTGGGGTTGAGAGGAGGTTGAATTCAAAGAGGGGACAGACAATGAGGGGTGCTGCTGTCGGTGGGAAGAGGAAGACATGGAAATCGGAGAGTTTTGAGCCAATTCATATTGCTAAAGGGAAAACTGAGCCACCGGCGGGGAAGAGCCCAATTCCGGTGACCAAGGAGTTGACTACTGTGTCGGTTGATGGAATCAAGAGGAGTCCGGTTCGGGTGAAGAAAGGGAGATCTGAAGGAAGTAAGGAGATTAGCAAGTCTGCTGATGGAATTGAGAAGAGCCCAATTAACGTTAGGAGGCTGAGATCTGAGATTTCGAAAGGGTCAGCTGAATTGTCTAAGGAAATTGTGGAATCTGATGAAGGAATTGAGAATAATTCGGTTGAAAAGAAGGATTTGATTAAAGTTGTAGATCAAAGTAGTGGTGAAAAAGAAAGCAGAAGGAATTCGGTTTTGGATGACCAAGGGAAGGGAAATGAGGGGTCTGATGAAGCAACAGAGAAGAATGAATCTGAGGGAAATTGCAAAGAATTAGGTGTTTGTGAAGAAAAGGTAATTTCAAGCAGTGTTAGTGTCAAAAACACAGATGAAGATGAAGGTGGGGATGAAGAGTTTGATGAAGAGGATGAAGTGGAAGAGGAGGAGGAAGAAGAAGAAGAAGAGGACGAAATTGAGGTTGAAATTGAGAAGAAGAGGATTGATATTAAGGAAATGAATGTGCCAGAAGTTCCAGCACAGAAGCCTGAACCAACTGTTGATGAAGTGAAGAGAATCAATCATTTCAACAACAGAACATCATCATTTTCTTCCCCTGTGAATAAGCAGCTTCCTCCAGTTGAGAAAAGGGCTACTCCAATTTACACAAATCCTCCTTCAAAACCTACCCGTTGTAAGTGTTTGATCCATTTTCATGCTCTTGATCTTCACTTTCTGTGTTTTCTTAGCCTAATTTTTTTCCTCCAGTCTCAGCTTCAGATGATCACCAGAGTTTCCCCCAGACCCACAACAACAAATTACAGAACTTAGGTGAGAAATGGGAAGATAAAACTCCCAAATTTTCTGACTTTCAGCATTGATTCTCATTTCTTGATTATATTTGTTTGTCTAAAATTTTTCAGTTGATATAGTAATGTGGAGAGATATATCCAAATCAGCATTCATCTTTGGGATTGGAACATTCGTCATAATCTCCTCTTCCTACACCCAGAACCTCAACATCAGGTTTTGAATGAATACAATTAATATGATTTCACTCGGTTTTTTATCTCCCCTGTTTCAGAAACAGAACCAAAAGTTTTTTTTTTAACTCTGTATGAGAATCTCTGTACAGCTTTATCTCTGTGATTTCCTATATGGGGCTTGTTTATCTTGCTGCCATCTTCCTGTACAGATCCATTATCTGCAGGTATGGTAACTCCTGACACACTACACTAACATCAAAACTCCAAATTTACCAAAATTAGAAATTGGGTCTTCTTCTGATTTACAAATAAATTCAGGGGACTGGTGGAAATAAATGAGACAAGCTGTGTGTTGGGGGAAGAAGAAGCAGTATGGTTACTGAAACTGTTTCTTCCTTACTTGAATGAGTTCCTGCTAAAGCTCAGGGCACTTTTCTCAGGAGATCCTGCCACTACCATGAAGGTAAATTGACTAAATTCCCATTTTCTTTAATCTGTCATTGTTTTCCATTGTGAAGATTGAGTATGAATAGCTACCAAAAAGTTGATAATTGTTATGATAATGGCAGTTGGCAATGCTGCTGTTTGTTCTGGCCAGGAGTGGCAGCTCCATAACCATATGGAAAATGGCCAAATTGGGTTAGTTTGTTTCATACTTTGATTTGGTAAAATTCAGATTGCGGACCAAAAAAATTCTCCATTTTAGTTCCAAATAAAATTTTTCAAAATGGGAAAAAGACATTTATGTCATAAAAAAATAATGGGATCTTAATTTTTACCGTTTCAATTCATATTTTTCCCTTTGACCCAAGGGCACTGTTGTCTTTTCTCTTTTTTTACTGTGTAAAGGAGGAGTTTTACAGAACAAGACAATTTACTGTTAAATGATGTGAAAAATGTGAATGTTCTTTCATTTTTACTGAGTAAAGAAGCTTTGCTTATGCTGGGTGTCGCAGGCTTTTTTGGAGTTTTCACTGTACCAATAGTCTGCTCTTCCTATTCCCACCAGTTTACTGCATACGGTAAATCCTCTCCTTTATTTTGTGGGTTTTTTTTTTTTAACCATTATCACGGAAAGCTTGCAGCCCTTGCGCCCAGCGGCCCATGCCTCACCTGTTAATTAGGCCTTTTTTGGTCCATCATATCATTTAATATTTTAACATCTCTTTTATTCTGTCTCCCTAGTCCCTAGTCCCTACTCATCCTGGGTTCGATATTATGGGCCCTACCATATGATATGATCTCTTGGGCCCAAAGTCAATCTCCGTCATCTTCATCACATCATTATCTATATCCCTAGTCATCTTGGCTTCCTCAACTTCTTAAAACATTTACATGAAATGAAAAAAAATTCTAATGTTCACACTGATATATAATAGTGAGTGTATGTGTAACATGCCATGGTAACATTGAAGAATCTCTTCCACATATTTAGTATAATAATGTGAAATCTGCATAGATATAATTTCTAGAGAATTCTTATTTCAACGTGGATGATTTGCTTTAAACCAAACAAGTATTAATCCTTTTCTTTTTTAAAAAAACAATCCAGTAAAATTGGGCAGATTTATTTTAATAGGGTTAAATGTTGTGACTGTTATATAGTTCATTATTAGATAGTTCATCATAGGATAGAATCTAACGTTTTATGCAATTTGTGAAGGTAAATTTTGGATTAGACGATTTCGAGATGCATGGGATTCATGTACTCACAAGAAAGCAGTGGCAATGGGCATCTTCACTCTCGTCTGGAATTTATCTTCAACCATTGCTCGCATTTGGGCCGGTGTGTTGCAGCTTCTTTGTTCATTTTTAGGACCTGGTCTTGTTTTGCTAAATGCAATCTTTTTGTTTTGTTTGCAGCGTTTATGCTGTTTGTGGCCCTCCGGTACTATCAGCAAGCAATGTTGGACGATTGTGCATTGGAGGAGGATGCAAGCCCTGTTGAAGAAACATTGCAAGGACGGACTGGACACCCTAGACCAGGGCTCAGGCCCACCGTGGTGGAATCTAACATGCCCAATAAACTCAAGAAAGGACTTTAAGAAGACAACACTATATTTGAGTCTAGGCCCATTTGTTGTGCTCTTTTTTGTTTCACCAACAGTAATCTCTGGCCCAAAAAGAAGTCTTGCCTAGTCCTAGTAGGATGGTAGTAATAATCGTTTTGTTGTTTTTTCCTTAATTTTTTTTTATTTTTTATAGTTAAGTTTTTTCCATGTAAATACATCTTTGGAATTATGTGATACTCACTTAAGGTGATTAGGTGTAAATACAAGGTTTTAATTAATAAAAGTAATATCTTGACTTGATTTTTTTAATACAAAACTAATATAAAAGGATTACATTAGTCGGATCTTAATTTGTGTTTGTGCCAACGCATAAGGATAAAAAAAAATTCTTTTGATAATAATAATAATAATAATAACAATAAGTGTTTTCTTTTTATCTATGCACACATGTTATGGATATAATTATCACATTTTTTAACATTAATTAACATTAAAAAGTATAAAATTTGATATTAAATTAATTATTAATGTCAATTAATTATTTTAATTAGACAATTAATTTAAATAAAAGTCAAATTTTATTTTTTTTAATTCTACTTAATTTAAAAAAATTAACCATTTTACTTTTAACTTGTATTCTAAAAAGCATAAATTAAAAAAAAAAAAAAAAATAACTAAAAGAACAAGGATATAATTATCACATTTTTTAACATTAATT